TCTGGATAGTGACGTGGAAATAAAGAGCAGCGCCTCCACTATCAACTTCATGAAAACGAGGGTGTTAGAACTGCCCCCCTCATATAAATGTAAGGAACACCGATATTACAACAGATACAAACTTTCCATCTTTTACATTGTCGTCATGTTTCACTCAGTCGTTCGAGCAACGACATTTAGAGATGCTTGTTCTCGTCAGTATCCCATCGACGCCCGTACAGTACGACTTCTCTCCTTAGTGGTATTCAGACCCAATTTCCGGTCGGCAGCTGCAGCTTTGAAGTATTGTACGCATTGCCTTAGCGACCTCGCCCTGCGACATCCGCGTATAATGTGATGTCCCTTATTCTTTGCTCATCGGGAACATCCTTCAACGCATACGTAACGTAGCATATGCGTCAGTAATTTGTTTACTTGCTATTTATTTCTTGAGACAGTTTGAATCATCACCTCTGATTTGTGACGTTCGCTGTGTTTACAGCCTTCCTTAATCCACCCCTCAAGGTCTCATTCCTGATTTCAGCAACAGATGTTGTTCAGCAGGGCGACGGTCCTTTCGTTTCCTTGTGGTTGATGCCAGTACGAATTATCAGCCCCAAAAATACTTTTACTCTGGCACCAAGAAAGTCATCGAATTTCTAAACATATCCTGTTTAGACGCCTTTCTGATGCATCGGAATTGCCAGATTTCTCACGAAAACCTGTTTCGATCTCTTTCGTTCCCAGAACCAGTGAAATCCGGTATATTGGAGACAATGCAAACAGCCGCGTCGCGAAAGCCGCTCTGGTGACAGTTTTTGCTACTGTGCCTAACGCGGTTGTTCAACTGTGATTAAATTCTACACAACGTTCGACTGACAACTCAGGATTGTGATGCTTGACGTGGATGAAGATGCGCTGAGGCCACAAGTCGCTTACGACCCAAATCCTCTCAGATTTTCGTACTTTCTTTGTCACCTCAAATTCAAACTGCCCTCGATAATCCACCTCACACGTTCCTGCCGCTAAGAGGAGGCAACGACGAGAGTGGAATCGATTGACAGCGCGAAGTACGGTGATGTCTAAACATTTGAGCTGATGATACGTTAGTCGTGGCGGCTTGCGTGCACCCTGAAATGGTGGTCGACTACCACCACAACAACAGACACAGAAGAACTACTGACTCAAAACCAGATGGAAGATCCGGACATCATTTGAAAGATAATATTAATAAATGAACATACAGCATGATTCGCATCGCGTCATCACAGTAGACAAGACGTACCGCATCTGGTATAATAATCTTGCTCAAACTTTCAGGTGGTCAGTCCTGTTACTTGACCATAATTTTTCTCACAGTCAAGATTATGCCCACAACTTCATTATCCGGTAAAATTGACAATGTATTAATCACTGGAGAATGGCATGTATTATTTTCTATGACCAAATGACGATAGCAGTCGTCTATCAAATACTTCGCTATCCAGATATCGCTTTCTACATCTTGGTGCAAGATATGTATGATTCGACTGTACAGATTTTTACAGAACATCCATCGCTCCGTTCACAGCACAATGTGTGATAAATCAAATAATTTAAATAGTTGAAATTATACTGAAAGGCTTAATTCTGCACAACCATATTCAAATCAGTATACATCATATCTTTCTGATTAACGGACAGTGGCAACAAAGACTTAGTAAACACAGTTTGTTTCTAACTGAAGGTTTCTGATCCAATGCTCCCATTCGAAGTGTTACCGTAGCTGAAATCTGAGTGAATATAGTGCTCTAGCCTTAATGTTTCAGTCTTAGGTTAAGCATAATCTTAGGCTCAGGCTAACGAGTAGGTTTCAGCTATCATTTTCGATTATTTTTAGAATTACTCGTAGGTTAAAGGTTAAGTTAACGGTTAGTTTGAAGTTTCGGCTTTCAAAAGCCTTAGTTTTAGCCGAACACTGATCCAAAGGTTCAGCTTCAACCCAAGCCTAAACTTAAGTTTTGGTTTAGACTTAGCCTTAAGCACAAACCCCAGATAATGCTTAACGTAGTTTTAGTTTTAAGTTAATTTCCGTCTCGTGCTTCGACTAAGTCTTAAAATTAACCTTGGGTTTAGGCTTAATGTCTGTTTAGGCTAAAGCTTAGATCTCAGTTTAAGTTCAAGCTTCGGTTTTGGTTTTAGCATTGGCATTTGTTTAGGCTTGAGCAATAACCTGCTAGCAATTTTAGATTAGAACTAAGATTAGCCAAAGCAAAACTTAAGTCGAAGCCCAAATTTAAGCTTAAGCTAAGGCTTAGCCTGAACCGTAGCATTAGGCTTAGACATACAGAGTTTCAGGTTTAGTATCAGGCTTAGGCTTAGGCCAAAACCTAACACTAACCTCAAGCCTGACTAATTTTAGGTTTAGGCATAGACTTAGATTCATTCGCAAACCTGAGCTTCGATGAAATCCTAAACCTGTGCCCAAGATTAGTCTTAGAATTAATCCGAGACTTAGACTTAAGCTTGAACTGAGGTTTAAGCATAAATTCGCGCCATATAACGAAGAAATGATTAATTTTACCTTAAAACTGTTTCTAAACGTGATGAAGAATTACGCTCAGTCAAACATTTCTGTGTGTACTTCAATCCTTCTCCATTATGCATTGTGGTCTGTTTTCATTCAAATTGTAAAATTCGTGAGTTTGGAACTTTTTGACAATTGTAATAATCATTAAACACCAGAAACAAGATTAAGCCCTTTTATTTTACATTTAAGACGTTTCTGATTGGAGGACACAGCGGGTAATCGAGTTGCGGATAGCGAAATGATTTCGAGATATGGGAGTTGCCTGCGACAAATAACCAATCACCGACAGGAAGCGATTAGACCGCAATGGCAAGTCAGAGGAAAGGCGACAGCACACCCCCC